TTTGACACTTCCCACTACTGCAGAAGCTCTCAAACCGAGTAGCCGAGAAATGTTTTGTTAAAACTGCTTGTGGATTACTTTTACCCACTCAAATAAAATTGTCCAAATTTTTAGAAAAGAAACCAAGTTTTGAATTTTTTTGGCGATTTAAAATAGATCTAGGAAGGCGCACTCATCTCTGAACTCAAAAATGTATTTTAAATTTCGGTGAGGAAATCCACTTTATACAGTCGAAATTGCGTCAAAATACGAAGTGAAAGAAAGAAAACACTACCAGATTAACCCAGTCTGATGCAGTAAGGAATGTTCCACTTTGAAATAAAGCGACAGTTTCGGATGAGGAGGACATCAAATGGAAAAAGATGTCTTTAGCTGCTGGAAGACTAAGTCACAATAGTTGGACATTCGCATTCTATCCTCAAACACACCTCAAATAAACTAAGCGAGTGTCAACCAGAAAAAGAACCGCAAGGAGCTCCGCCATCACGACCAAGCTTTGACCCGTGTCTTTCTTCCATAAAAAGAAGCGAGTCAGTCGACCATAAAGCCATTCAAAGAGAGACAAAGGGAGAAATGATAGCAATGGCAGCGTTAATAGTAATCTGGGCCCTTCATTGCCTTGACAACGTTGCGGTGTAAACTAGAGGCGCACAAAAACAACCCACCCACGGACGGAAGGGGAAGGTATGATTCACCAGTCATCTGCGCGACCCTTTGTCATGACCAAGATGCATCACTGATGTCGGAGTCTCTCCAGGACCATAACTGTTGACGAAGTCACGTGAAGACGCAGTGAGGCAACTTAATCCCCTCCCTCTTTCCATACGGCATTGCCTGACCCCCCTTCACCTCTCCGATTTAATCAACTAACAGCTGGCGTATGCGTAGGCGTGGTACAGTGTGAGCCTGATCAAAAAGGGTCGGGCAAACTCGGGCTGAAATGGGACCAAACCGCCACCTCTTCAAGTGAAAAGCCACGCCCACCCCAGAGACTTCGGGATGAACTTTTAAGAGGACTTTCGCGCAGAGCTAACATCAAAAAGAAAACAACCACAGTGTATAAAGTTGTATTTTAAAGAAAGTGGGTCAAATACCGCCTCTGTAACTTGATTTCAAGGAGATTCGTAAAAACGTCTCATTGAAAAAGAAATAGGCTTAGAATTGGCTCATTTCAACTTCATGCAGGTATAAAGAACGGATGCATAGCAGATTATCTGCAAAAAAGTGGCGACCGATGCCTCTGGAATATGCCTAAAGAAGAACGTCTACGTCCGTATGGTGTGCTCAGAAAGTCTCAAAAAAAAACAAAAAATAGATATGTATTCATGCCACCGATGACGAGAAAGAAATAACCCTCTAGTAAATTTAGGTACCAGATCGACTCTTATCAGTTCCGGTATCTCCATTCCCTCAAGTACCGGCAAAGAGGATTACAAAACATGCCCCCCACAGTAACACTGGTAAATCATGATGTTAATATTACCGAAAATTTCACACACAACCCGAAACAATCGAAGCCCACCGCCGAGTTCATTTTACGCGATCAGGCTTCAAATCACCCGAAAAACGCCCCCTTTCGAGTGAACCTAAGAGCAGAAACCACATACCAGCCCCGCGCAATAGCAGTTTGTAAAGGAAAGAACTATTCATGAAACGGAAGAGGGTAGAACCAAATCCCTCCAATGTAAATTTATCTGTTTGCCGGTCATCCAACTCCTCAAAATCATTGTAGGGGTGCTTAAAACTTTACGCGAACATTCTGGAGTTCCAAAAATGCGACGATTCAGTGGTGCCTGCTTCTAACCCAGTAGAAGCGTCGTCCAACCAATAATTAGATACAGTAGAACTCCAATTGTCCTGCAGCAGGCGAAGCTCTCCCCACAGATCCCAAACTGGACTAATGATTATTACGAACCACAGCATTTTCAGCTGGTACTAACCACCTCTGATTTGCGCTGTGCCTCTAATCGCTGGTAACTCAGCCACATTTCGCTAGAATACCACTAGATTCCGTTTGGGACCTCGCTCAATCCTTTTAGACAAGATCATAGTAAAAACACTGTCAAGCGAAGTTTTTTTCCAGACATAACCAATTCCAATCCTGATAATAAAAGTCGTGTTTGCGCGATGAAAGACACTCCTACTAGGTTATTCAACCACGATATACCTTTTAATTTAACCCACACAACAACCTTGAAGCACATCTACCTTTCTAGCGGCTTCCCTATTGTATAAAGGCTTTCCAATTCAATTATCAGAAGTCTTGGCAGATAAAAAGGGCTTTTTATTGGTTGCCGGTCAGCAGTGGTTTGTGCCTTTTATTCCATAACTACGAGTGAGCGCCCCAAATGCTCGACTATTTGCTGAAGACATACCACTATTCCCGACGAACAGTGCTTAGCTTCCAAGGCCTTCCAAGAAGAAGCCGTGGTAAGTTTCAGCAGGCAAACTTTAATTTTTCTTCGCAGCTTCCCAAAAGCTCGTGAAAAATCCCCACGTCTACAAGAAGTAATTCAATCTTGAATAAAGAAAGATGCACACCGCCATAAAATTTACATCACAAAGTTATGTGGAATTAGACATTCGGTGCTCCCCCACCCAAAAAAGGCTCCACTTATAACCTAGGGATCATTCACCGCTAGTGCGTAACATATAATACCACGTCACTGGAAAAACCTCAAGTAGGCAGCACTATTCGTAATAGATGCATCAACAGTGCCAGTGGATCTCCCCACCAAAATAAACAGTCCTGTTCCTTGTTCACCCTCGCCAGCTATTTGTTTACGCACTTTCTCGCTCTCTCGAATGAGAGGCATATTCTTTAGAGTGAGAGTGGACGAGAGATAAATATTAGATAGATGGACAATGCACCCCAACTGGCGCCCCTTGCACATGTGTTTGGGTGTGCATGAGAGGCCTACACAGTCACCATCAGTTGCAAACTGCGGTTCGCGTAATTTTCAGCTACACACCCTCCACACCGAAAACCGCCTCAGTTGGCGGTCAAATTTTTCGATGCTGATTAGTTTTGGCTGTATTAACCTATTCCCTCGCTCCTAGTCACGTAGCAGCAACAGCCCCAGTGGCCTTTCCATTTTCAGCGGTTTGTTCGCAAAGAAATACATTTCAGACGACTGTGGGTTGATATCAGAAAGGTAGCATATATGAAAAGGTATGCTTAGATCGATGGAAAAAAATGAGAGATTCTGAAAGTAAAACTCTCTCAAAATCGTCATGGCATAGAGCAATAGCCTAATTACGGCTAAAAAACGCAAAAATCAAAAATAAGAGGGAACTTGCAGCTACTTTACTATAATTTACGTGACGATTGCGGCCAACAAATGCCCCTAACACTTCTTTTGACAAGCAAACACGCAAAGAAACACGAGCTGAATGCCTTGGACAGCTATTTTTGGCCCTTTTCCAGTGGCACATTCTGCTACGGACAAACGACTCTATCTTCTTCCCTACTTGTTTAGATATCACTCCTTAACTATCAGCGTCAACCTGCTTTTAAAGCGTTTTTAAAGCGTTTGTCCAAAACAAGAAAAAGGTAATGAAAAGAGGTACCACAAAAAGTGGAACGACAACTTTGGTAAAAAAAAACATAGTCAATCCTTCAGGTCAGCTTATGTGGTGACTCAAAGTAGGGTAGTCATACCAGCAGGCCCCCCTAACTGAATATCTTGTGAAGACAAAGGAAGCGGCGAAACGGCCGGGCTGACTCACTCCGCGCCTCCAAAAACGACAGCAACGCCACATTAGCTTATCGATCGTAGAGGAGTAGTCAAGGTCAAACGTACTACAACATGATTGGGTGGTGTGAAGGTTGCGCAGAAGCGGTATGATCAATAGGAGATTGCGCCAAAAAGGGGATAAATGATAAATATACAAAGATTTGGTTGAGCTTACTTCTTGCAACTTTGGGTAGTTCCTTAAAAATATTTCTAATTTCATCAACCCCACGCTCGACGTGATACCGGTGACGCTTGTAATTGACGAGTACAGTTGCGATGGCTTGTTGTTGGAAAAAAGAATCCCAGCCAGCATTAAAAGCGTCCGAAATCGTTATAGGCTGTACTGTAATCATTGCGATTGGTGTACTAATTTCTGGCTTCCAGCCGAAGTGGATGAGCGTGGAGGCAATGACCCACTCCAGATCGGCGTAAGTGAAGTACATCCGAGTTAGCATCCCAAACTCATTCTTATCCGCAAGTTGGATAGAGGATGCAGCGGGAGAGACAATAGGTACGAGGTAGAGGGCTGTTGAAAAGCGAGCAGCTGCACCAAGGACAAAATCATTGATGGGTCCAAATATGACGTTAACTTCCCTTCGATTAAACTTCTCTAAAACGGCCAATGAATCGCAGGCTAGCCAATCGAAGTATAGGATAGGAACAACACGGAAAACGACCCCGCGATAAGCAGGCATAGTTGTCACCTTTTCAATGGCCAAGTCAATGGCTGGAAGCATCTGTGCGATCGAGTCACGTCCGTCTGTTGCCAGCTGAACACCGAACTTTACAACAGGAATGCGACTCTTCAAGTAGCCCGGATTCGTGACGTTCGCTGCCCTAATTTCTCGATCACGGTTGGCCAAATCGCAGCGCTGTTTAATTTGGCTGAACATCTTGCGGATCACAGCCGGAGGTGTGTAATTTCCTTTGGCAGAGGATGGTCTATGAATGACACAATCGCTAACCACTTCTTGCGCCATGGAGGGAAGGATAATCCATGCGCCACAGCATAGACACGCAAGGAGGAATGTAGGGGAGTGCAAACATGAAAGGCCTTTGGTAGAAGTGATGGAGAAGAAAGATCCAGACCTCGCCGATTTTCGACGTCGCATAATGCCAGTAGGAACATGAACAGCCGAAAACCGCTAAATCCACCTCACATTTCCTACACAAATACCGCCAACAAATGCGTCTGCGGTGCAAGTAATAATTGCCAAAATAAGAAGGGACTACCTTAGAGAGGAGGAAAGAAAGAGGACCCCCGACGGATTCGCGCTTTTGCCATGTGGCGCGTGTCCGCGTGCGCGTTTATATGTACCGTCAGGCTCGCGCGCGTTCAAGTAGAGCCAATGGTATGCAGGGGACATTCTGATTGGTTGCCTGAAGGCAACTATTGATCTCGCGGTGGTTGGTGTGGCGCTGGGACGCGACGCTATTCTAGCCTGTGACACGCGCACGAGTGTGTGCGTGTGTGTTGCGCATTCGTATGCTGGATTGCTGGCTGGCAGGCAGGCTGGAGAGCCAGACGGGTGTAGACGTGGCGGCACGGTGGCGGGCGGTTACCAAGGTGCAAGGCCTGGGTACGGATGCTGTGCAGACTCAGTCACTCGCACCGTCTCCAGTTCGCTCGCTTCTATGATTCCTCCAAACATTTCTGCCTCAAGATTACCCATGCAAGAAAAAAACATCGCAAAACCTAACGAGGGAGAATACCAGTTTGCTCTCAATCATTTAAAACTAATCGCACAAAGTACGCTTACGATTCAGATTATATTAGTAAACGGCAAAATTTCTAAAATAAATCAAATTTTACAGTCTCACATCATTTGGAAGAAACCGCCGTAATGCCAGAGAGGCATTAC